TGTATGTTGTTAATTTTATTGCAGCTACTCTTTGCAACTGGTATCGCTCATTTTAGGTCACACATTTACCCATGATCAGTCTAACATACTGTATGAAGGTTTGTGTCTGTTTTAGTTAGTTTTAAAGCAGTGGAGGGGGTTGAAATGTTTTCTTGGACTCTGACCTCTACCTCTATCTTGTAAGAGTACAGATAGCTTTCCATTCTAATGCTGAGCTGCTCCATGCAATTACAAAACATTTGGACTTTGTTTCAAAATTTGTGAGCTTCCTACATAGATAGCAATTATGGACAGATGTGCATTTGCAAATATAAGGAGAACTGAATATACCTGGGCAATTTTCCCTCAAATGTTCTTGATTAAAACACATGTTTTATGGATTCAAAACATAACTTTGTTTTATATGCTTGCTTTTTCATTTTGGCTTTTTAATTTCTGTCTTTCAGCAGAAGAGGTTCAGTATGAAAATTGGTCTAATTTCTTCACCACTAGGATGCTCTCTCCAATAGCCACTTCCCTTCCTAGTTCTTCCCCATATCTGCAGTTTTATGTATTTTAGAAAGTTTTCTTCTCTGTGTGACATTTGTCACGTGAATTTTAGTGGGACATGATATTGGCAAATACATAGCGTCGTTATATCTGTGTCTTACAGAGGCTGAAACTGCTGAAACACTTGCTGATGACGGGAATGTGTTTTTAAATCATTAAAGTAAAACATTTCTGGAACTGACTTTTATTCCAGTTTAATTAAGAAGACCTCAAGATACTTAAAAACAACTTTCAAAGAACTAAAGGCTTGAGTTTCGGTCAGTTCACAACAAAACATATGGCTTCAAAAGATTTGGAATATAAAACGTAATATGTAAACTACCATTCAAACGTTTGGAGTCTCTAAGATTTTTAAAATGATTTTGAAAGAATCTTTTATGCTCACCAAGTGAAAGTTGCATGTATTTGATTTTGTTCAAAAATAAAGTAAAAACAGTAATATTGTGAAATATTATTTAAAATTTTCTTTTAAAATATAATTTATTCCTGTGATTTATAATTTATTCATTAGATATGAATAAAATATTATAAATGTCTTTACTGTCACTTTTGATCAATTTAATGCATTCTTGCAAATTAGAAGTATTAATATATTTAAAATCAAAAATGTACCGTGATCTTAAATTGATATATAATCAGCTGTTATCAGATATCTAATATGATTAAATCTGTTAATCTTTAGAAAACACTAATAACTCAATTACACTGTTAAATGTAATCTTGTATGTACTGTAGCAAATGTCAAAAGGAACATCGTAATTTTTCATACTGTGCATTATAACTGTTGATTATTATTATAATGCCCAATTTCACATCTAGCATTTAAAATCGTCGATTAAAATTTTTTGTTTTATTTTGAATTAGATTTGATATAGCATAGAATGTAATATCGATTAATATTAGCTTATTGATTTTGGCCAGAATATTAATGTCAGTACATCCCTAATAGAAAACGTCTTCAGAGCATCATAACATTTTAATAGCTCCACAGAAGAAAGTTTTAGATTAATTTTCGCAGGAAAGTCTTATACAGTATAATAAAATGCTTTGCCAGAATAATTTAACCAATATAGTGCTTCTTTGAGAGGTATGACTATGAATTAGTCTGATTGCGCAAGCAGTGTGGGATGAGTTATGCAACAAATTTAATTCTCACATTTAGAGGATATTGTGTTAATGATCTTCTCTTGTCTTTATATCTTCTTTATACTCTGAAGTTTGAAATGGTGTCGTACAAGAGACTCACCCCTGAGGAGGTTCATTTCGCAGGAGCTGCTTTATTGGATCCTGATGAGACGACAGACACGGATCTAAAGGAAGTAAACCCAGAACTGCCCCTGCTGCCCCAGAGCCGTCGCTGCTCCATCACCGTTGCCCTGCTGACCCTTGGGGGACTTATTGTGGTTCTCTTTGGCATCTGGCTACTTGGAACTATATTTTGGTTACATAAGCCACCCTCCACAGAACCCCATAGACCCCCTCCACCTGCTGTGGCTAAAAGCCTAAACGGGACGTGGCTGCAGCCGGAGTCCTGCTCGCAGATTCCAGAAGCTTGGAGGTTTGACTGTTATCCAGAGAGAGGTGCGGTGGTGACGGAGGAGATGTGCAACGCTCGAAACTGCTGCTTCGTACAGCGCTCACAGGCTAAGACATCGGGACGGAATGGAATGCCGTGGTGTTTCTACACACCTGACTATCCATCCTACGAGTTGGTGTCCATTACTGACACAGAGATGGGGAAGGTGGGAAAACTGCTCCGGAACAAAAAGACATATTATCCTAAAGACATAGATGCACTGCAGATGGAGGTGCTGTATGAGGAAGACAACAGACTGCGTGTGAAGGTGAGAGCACTTCTGGTCTTCATGTTACTGGCTGGTTAGGTTTGTGATCTCTCTTTATGAAGCAGACTGTTCTCAAAAAAACTATTTAGTCATTCATGTTGATGTTAAAGTCCTAAATACTTATTTTTCTGTTTTAAAAAATTGCTTTTTATGCTCAGTGTATTGGTACCAGATTGGTTATTAGCTAGACTTTTTTTTTTTAATACAATATTTTTTAAATATCAGTATCTGTTGATATTGAATATGTACAGTTAGTTAGATAATAAATTATGTAACAATTTTAATTATGAATTGAAAACTATTTTTTAAATTAAAATGTTTTAATCATTTTAAAATGTAACATTTAAGAATTCAATTATTTCGGCCTATATCTATTCAAAAGTTTGGGTCAGTATAGTTTTTTATATGATTTTGAAAGAAGTTTCTTATGCTCACCAAGGCTACATTTATAAAGTAATATTATGAAATATTGTTGCATTTGGTGGCAAAACTGAATTTTCATTAGTCATTTCTCCAGTCTTCAGTGTCCTTGAGAAAAATACATTTATAATATGCTGATTTCTTGCTTTGGACACATTTTCATGTTATTATCAAGCTTGAAAACAGGTGTGCTTTTTAATTTTTTGTGAAAACGGTTATTTATCTGTAATAGAAATCTTTTGTAGCATTATACATGTCTTTACTGTCACTTTTGAGTAATTTAATGCCTCCTTACAAAATAAAAGCATCAATTTACTTAAAATAAAAAACCTACTGACCCCAAACTTTTGAATGGTGGTGTGTACTATGTATACATTATCAGGTATTATTGTACGTTTAACTCTGAATTAAAATGAATGTTAACCAGCACTAATAATTCAGTTACACTGTTAAATGTGGCAGATCTCTAAAGGAAATTCCATTTTTTTTATATTGTACATTTACATTATAACTGTGGCTTGTAATTATAATGCCTAATTTTACTTGTAGGATTTAAAGGAATTGTTTTTAAATATTTGTGTTTTAATTTCATAGTATAGAGTTTGATTGTTGATTATTGATTCAGCTTATTGATGTTGTCCAGATTATTATCAATATCGATCCTGAATAGAAAACATTTTCAGAGTGTTGTAACCTACCATATTTTTTTTGTTGTTTCATAATATTCCTGTGTCAAATACAGATAACAGACCCGGCTGAAAAGAGGTATGAGGTGCCTATAGATGTTCCTGTGGTTCAGAAAAAAGCATCAAATCCCTCTTACACCATAGACTTCATCAAAGAACCTTTCGGGCTGATTGTCAAGAGAACACAGACAGGAACTGTACTGTAAGTACTATTTACTGTCAACTAATATAGACCTACTTAAAAAAAAAAACACTAACAATAAAATGATTCAGTTTCTTTTACCATTAGAAGTGATGAGGAGAAAACTCTCCAGGAAGGAGGTCTGTAATATTGTCTCCGTATAATTGAGTTATTAACATCCGTTCACATCCCGTCAGGTTGAATACATCTATAGCTCCTCTCTTCTACGCGGATCAGTTCCTGCAGATGTCTACATCATTACCTTCACGTTTCATATATGGACTGGGTGAACATCGCTCCAACTTTCTGCATGACATCCAGTGGAACACTCTCACCATGTGGGCTCGAGATGTCCCACCAATGGTAACTTAACATTTGTCTTCTGACGTAAGAATCTGTCAGTTCTGTTTCAAATCTAATAACAAGACTTAAAGGAATAGTTCACCCAAAAATGAACATTTCCTGAAGATGTACTCACCCTCAGACCATCCAAGTTGTTTGTTCCTTTATCAGAACAGATTTGAGGAAATTTAGCATTACATCACTTCACCGTTGGATCCGCTGCAGTGAATGGGTGCCGTCAGAATGAGAGTCCAAACAGCTGATTAAAACATCACAACTAATCCACAAAACTACTGTCCCTCAATTAACATCTTTTGAAGAGAAAAGCTTGTGTGTCTATAAGAAACAATAAAACGAAAAGACCATTTTAATTTCAAACCATCACTTCTGGCCAAAATATGAGTCCTTGAGTCCTCTCGCATCAAAAACCTGCAGCATATTTGTTTAGAGCTGTTTTTGCTTGTAAAAGGTGCTTGATCTGTGCATATTTCTCTCCTGATTCAGACGTGACAACTTTTTCACTGGAGAAAGCAATATTATGGATAGAGGACTTTTAGCCAGATTTTAGCCAGAAGCAAAGTTTTTATGTAAAAAAGCCTTAATGATGGATTTGTTTCATACAAACACACAGCTTTTTCCTTTAAAAGACATTCAATTTTGGAGTGGAGTCACATGGGTTACTAGTGAATTATTGTGATGTTTTTAGCATCTGTTTGGACTGACGGCACCCATTTACTGCAGATGATCCATTGGTGAGTATATTACATTGTACATTGTAACATGCCCCCTTTAACAGCACTACAAAACATCAATCCAGATTAATAAATGTTCCAGATTGCACTAACTGCTCTGCTTTTCTTGATTGACGGTTCTTTCAGGAGCTGACCAACCTCTATGGCGTCCATCCCTTTTATCTTTCTATGGAATCTGATGGAATGGCACATGGGTTTTTCATGCTCAACAGCAATGCAATGGGTGGGCTCATCACACACATGCATGCTTGATTTTAAACTGAAATTGAGTTCAGTGTTTAAGCAGTAATCAACATCTACATTTCAAATTCCAAACACAATGCAAACCACATACCACTTACAAGCCATGAATCAAATACTATAGACCTGCTTTCACTGAGCTAGATTGCTTATACATAACACCATGTTGTTTTGGCACTGACCCTTGTTTGATTGTCATGTTCATGATAAGCCTTGTTTTTGATCATGATAATACACCCAGTTATAAGATTAATATTTTGTGTTGTCAGGGGTAGTTATGCCTATTTGATAAATTCATGCATGAGAAAAAAGTGAAATGACAATCATATCAGTTTCTTATACAATACTTTGAACTACCATTTGTTAATTTGTAAACCATTATAGCACGCAGTTTATCTTAATAATAAGATCTTTTTTATCCTAATGTGCTTTCATATGCTTCTGAAATGTTCTCAGCATTTTCCTGTGAATCTTTGTTGTTGTGTATACGGCCATTGGTTATGCAGATTAAAGTCCGCATGAAGCACAAATTGCCAAAATCTTTTCTTCTTTATTATGACGTACTGTATGTCTGAGTGAAACGGCTTCTCGAACTGATAAAATAGAAAAATGCAGTGCAGGATTTTGTTTATTGCAATGTGTCATTCCTGGTAAATAATTATGAAATTTTACTAGCAATTTTTGAGTGAAAATTGTTTCGACCTACTTTTTTTTTTTTTTTT